GCGCTTTTTAAAACAACAGTTTATGGCAAAAACTTTGTGACTACCATGAAAGACTATATATATATATATATATATATATATATATATATATATATATATATATATATATATATATATATATATATATATATATATATATATATATATATATATATATATATATATCAGACTCTCGAATACTGATCACGGAAATTATATTTAGTTACGAAAAACTGGCCATGTTTTTTAATCGTTTTGAGAACATTAAAGTTTATGTATGTAACAAAAATTTTTTGTTTTATTGACATACATGGAAACATAATAAACCTGAATGTTCTCAAAATATCTTGGTGCGGAAGAATAAAAAGAATATTCAAGAACACTAAAAACCTGCCAAATTTACAAACAAATTAATTCTATTGGTTCAAAAAATACACTGACTAAGCGAAATAATGTTCTTGAGTATTGCTTTGAAATGTTTTAGAAATTGTATTCACGATTTGTTACGTTTTGAGATTTCTAGCATAAATTGTTTTAAGAATATATCATCAATACAATGGCTCATTCTCCGAGCCACATCTGCAAAGCCGTAAATCTTTTAAAATATTATTTGTTTGCAAAAATAAATTTTTTATAATATATATTTTTTAAATTGTCAAAATTTTGAAAGTTTATTATAAATTATAGATTTTATTATTTATTTTAAAAGTATGTATTTTTTATGTTAATATAATTTTATGTATCTGTTTTTTATCGTAATGTAATCTTTTAAAGAAATTTTTATGATTTAATTTGTAAACAAAGACTTACAAAAGTAATTACGTTTTCAATGAAGTTATTAATAATCATCAAAGTTAATAAAACTAGCTATGTAACAAACATATAAGAAGTTTCTGGTTACTAAACACAAACAATGCATACAAAGTAACTAGCGGATGAACAAGCACCGCGTCTGAGGTCATGACAGAAAACTAATTTATATAGCAAGTTATTAGATATAAAGAAAAGTTTCTACTAAAAACTTTTCTTTAAACCAACATCTAGAAATTCTAGATATTGGTTTACTAACTCTAATTATTTTTGTTTCAGTTGCCATTCCTGAAAAACTTGTTATATTTTATTGTGCTTTAAATACTAATTAAAATTAAAAAGCCCACTCACTAAATATCATCAGCGATATTGTGATACAGTTTAGCTTTCTTGTCATAAAGTATTTTTAACCTTTTTAGTTGATTTTTATTTGGTTAATTTAATTTCTATAGTAATTCAATGAGTTAATTATTTCATTTGTTCATCTTACAAGGAGAATTGTTTCAAATATGTTAAACTTTTCAAACTAAGCGAAGCATAAAATAGGTATTAAAAGAATTGACTTACTTATTTATAAAATAATTTAGCTTAGATAAAACTAAAACTTGCGTTAGTTTTATTAGAATCTTGTTAGACTTTTCGGGACCAGGGGCCATTTTTATTTTGGATGTCTTTCTATGTGCCACAGCGTAAAAATGATTAAACAAAAAGGTCTCCTTGACTTTTTTGGGACCCTAACATTGCGGGGCTCAGGGCTATAGCCCCATCTAACCCCAACCCTCCTTAATCTAGCACTGGAAATAAGACACCAGTATATAAATAAAATATAGACACTCTTTGTTAAATATAGAGATTTTAAACAATCTTAAGATGTTACTTTTTATAAAAAATTATTTTTATAAAAAAAAATATAAAAGAGGATGTTTCTAAAATATTTGTTGTAAACATAATTTATTTTGCTTTAAATTTTTAAGCGTTAAAAGATATTTTATTTTCCTAAATTTTTTTGTTTTTTGTTTGTCATTGTCTGTCATTTGCACATATTTTTTTGCTTTTTGAAATGTTCTTAAAACGACCAAAAAACCTGGCCAGTTTTTCGCAGCTAAATATTATTTCCGTGGTCAGTAATCGAGAGTGATCGCATCCGCTTCCCGACCAAGCATATATATATATATATATATATATATATATATATATATATATATATATATATATATATATATATATATATATATATATATATATATATATACACATATATATATATACATATATATATATATATATATATAAATATATATATTAATGTATATATATATGTGTGTGTGTATATATATATATATATATATATATATATATATATATATATATATATCAGGCCTTGTGATAAATATAAACTGCGCAACGCATAAGCACGACGTGATTTTTGACGTCATTAAATTCTTTTTATTTGGTTTTCATATTTATCGACATTAACTGCACCAATTCACTTAATTACAGCAAAACTAATTGAAATCATTAATGTAGAAATGTTATTATTTAAAAATGTTTTGGAATGTTTCGTTTTTTAATATGTAAAAACATTTGTTTATTTTCTCGACGTTTGACACGTTTTGTCTATACTAAACGAATAAAAAACATTATAACTAAACATTTAAAAAAAGATTATAAAATATGCTAATATTTGATTTTTTTTTGTCAAATATGTAATTTAAAGTTTTTCAAATAATTATTTTTTCTTTTTAAAAAGTCAGCTAGTAATAAACTGGAAATTTTAATATTGTTCGATTAAAAACTGTGCAATAGCTAATATTTTTACCAGTGATTTTATATAATAATTTTTTATTTACTTAATTTTTATTTATTTTCATAAAGCGGTTGATAAGCACAATCACTCGTATTACTAAAAAACTTTTTTGAATAGATTTTTAATGTTTACAAGGAATTTTATTTCTAGTAAAATAAAATAAAATAAAATGTTAGAATAAAAATCTTTGCGCAAATAAAATATTTTTATTTGCGCTTACCAATTTTTAAAATGTTTCCTCGAAATTACTCTTTAATACTTTAAATTCGACTAACAGTTAATAAATATTTTTAAATCTATGGAATAATTTATTATATGTGTGAATATATATTATATGTATGTGTATATATGTATATATATATATGTGTGTGTATATATAAATATATATATATATATATATATATATATATATATATATATATATATATATATATATATATGCATACATATAAATATATAAATATATATATATATATATATATATATATATATAACTTAACTTTTTTAGTTAATATATCAATTCTACATACACAGTTGTTACAGTGAACAGTAGATATGATATGTTTGAATTAAAATACTACCGTAGGCGATAAATAACATGTGTTACCTTTCAAGTTTTAATACTATCTTTATGAATTTTATTGACTAAGGCCATGTCATCAATAATGATAGTTTATATATTTTCAGTCATTTCGTCTTCTTGTGCAATATTAAAAATCAATGGTGCAGTAATATTTAATCTTTTTGTCAAGTCTTCTGCTTCATGCAGAATTTTTTTTCTTTATCAAAAGTGAGCAATGGGTGACCATCTTGAGTAAGCATCGATTTTGGTACAACTGAAAACTCATAGCTAACAATGCTTTTTTCCAAATCAAGCTTTAGGCATTTTCTTGCACTAAGTAGAAAACAAGATAATAAGGTGCCCTATTAATATCTGTAGAACAAAGTTTAGCACTAGTAGCTGCCTTAAAACAGCCATAGTGCAAGTTTAAGTTCAGCATATGAAGCAGCCATGTTTAAATTGAAGATGAATTTTTTCAATTTAGATTGTCGCGCGACATTTGCACTGATGCTGAAAACATTTCATCACTTGATGACTTTCATGACTCCACTATCAAAGAATTTTTTAAACTGTGCACTGCTAGCAAGTGCAGTCTGTCAACATTTTTTTAGTGTAACACGGCAAGTGTTCATACCAAACCACACTGTGGTAGAACATTTTGAACAACAGTTGCTATTATAATATAAATCTTCTAAATCAATCCACGATGATCTTATGATGATATCACGAAGATCTTACGATGATATCACGAAGATAAATCCACGATGTCCGTTTATGAATAACAACCTCAACCCTGGTAAAAAACAGTTTTTATAAAATGCATACTTAAAAATTAGGTTTTTAATATATTTTAAATATGAAATGGGATTTAGTTGATTACATGAGTTTACATTTAGTTGACATTTAGTTGATTTTATGAGTTGCTTACTTATTGAATCAGGAGTTTAAAACTTAAGACTTGATTTGAGTATGAAATTGAACTGACTTTGCTTGAGTTAGAACCTGACTTGAACTTGAGTGAAAAGACTTAACAGAGACTTATGAGTTGTAAAACAATCACTTGTTCACAGCTTTGGTTGCAAAAGTGTTATATCCTTCAACATCAGAGAATAAATACTTATAAATATGAGAAAATTAGGGAATACTCAGGGAAAATTGATTTGAATCTAAAATTGCTATGAACACTAAACTTGATTAATCATTTCTCTCATACTTCTTCTTACAGCTCACCCTATCATTGAACTATCTACTACTACCCTAAAACTGACTGGGGTTGTCTTTGTGATTTTTTTTGCAATGTCCTTGGGCTGATGTTGTTTGTCTCCTAGCTGATAAATACGCTTCCCACATAACCTCCTGGATCAGCTTTGTAAGCTTTTGTAATCTATGTAAAAAGGTACTTTCTGATACTAAACTCAATTATTCCTAGTTTAATAACTCTTGTATCATATCTCCAAACTATCTCAAGAATAAGGCAGAACTAATTGCAAAGAATTTTTCCTTTAATTTTAACTCTTAAATCTATTTTCCATACTCTTTCTAACATTTTAGTTAAATAAGTTAACCCATTGATAATCATCCAAATTTAACTGGCTTTAAAAAAAAAAATTGATAATCACCAAAACTGGCTTTGTTCGCAAAAGTGGTTTTTCAATTAAGTTTCTTAGTTTTTTTCTTCTTTATTTGTATCTGTTATAAAATTCAAAACACGTATGCTTTAAACTGAGAAATCAGTTATCAGTTAAATCATTAGATCTTGATTGATTCTAATAATTTTCATACTACTGTAATTTATATTTATAATAAATATTTTTCTAGTTAAACTTATTTTTATTTTTTAAGCTCACGCTTGCTTGATAATTACCCAACTGAAAAATTTACAGAAGTATATTGGATTAAATACAAGAGAATACAATCAGCGAGGTAAGCAGCTTAAAACAAGTAAATTGCGTATAACTTAATAATATTTACCAGATTTTATATTTAATTTGATTTTGAAATATAATTTTTCTTAACCTAGTTATATCCAGTGTACAGCCTTGTGTACATTTGTTGAAATAGTTTTTTCCAATAGATGTACTAAATGTTAATTTTGATATTGTATTAGATTTGCTAAAAAAAAATTGGACAACCAATCATTCTTTGGTGGTTTATTGCATGTGTGTTATGCACCAGAGTATGAATCAAAAAAGGATACAAAAGAAAAGTTATTAGAAAGGCAAAGAGCTGTTTTAAAAAAATGTAAAGGTAATTTCTAATTCACAATGTGTTAAAATTGAAATTTTTCTAAGGGCTGCTGAAAAAATTGTCAAAATAAATAAGGCCCGTGTGCAGTTTCACCTCTGCCTACCATTTAGCCTCATTTTTTTTCATGAATAACATGATATAAAATTTATTCTGATTAAAAACTGTATAAAAACATAGGTTTGAAAATATAAGATAGGTACTCTAATTTTATATTAAAATTTAAAAATTTACATTAAAAAAGCTAATATTCATCATCTTTTTAACACTTCTCTATGAGTAAATTTCTTTCAAGTAATTTGCGTACTTTTACATTTATTTATATGTATCTCCTGTTGATACACAAGATGTATCTCCTGTTGATACACAAGATGTATCTCCTGTTGATACACAAGATGTATCTCCTGTTGATACACAAGATGTATCTCCTGTTGATACACAAGATGTATCTCCTGTTGATATACAAGATGTATCTCCTGTTGATACACAAGTTGTATCTCCTGTTGATACACAAGATGTATTTCCCGTTTGATGCACAAGATGTATCTCCTGTTGATACACAAGATGTATCTCCTGTTGATACACAAGATGTATCTCTATAAGTTGAATCATAAGTTGTTAACTGAATATCTAAATAACAATGTTACTAAAAAAGTATTTTATTTCAAAATAATTTTTTTTGTACTTTATATATTTTTTTCTCTTTATTTATTTATCAATGTTTTTCATATTTTTGTGGTTATCATCGTGTTTTATTTACTATATTTTTTCTTTTTCCAAGAATATAATGATGAGTGGAAGAAAAATTCAAGCAAGTTGGTAGAAGATAGTTCAACTGATCAAAGCAAATTAAAGAATATTTCTGCCAAGAAACTAACTACTACATTACCAAATGCAAGTATGATAGACACTAAATCACTTCCCTCAATCCCCATCGATCTAAATCCAATAATTCCACAACCTTCGTCTTTTAGCACATACCTATTTAGCACTAATAGCTGTCAGCAAGATTTACCTAGAGTCCCTTCCAAGCAAGCGACTCTTCCTGAAGATTTGAAATATTTATCTGCAGTTGAAGTTTATCCTAAGTATTTTGAAAACATCACGCATATAACTGATGAAGAAAGAAATCATATCATGAAAGATAAATCAGAAAAGGGTAATACAAGTATTCAAAGTGCAAGCGCTGATGAGACGGTTTGTAAAAAAAAAGCAATTGTGTGGAATCCAAAGTTTAGTGAACATATGAACAAGAATAGTTCTACATACACTTACAGTAAATCACCAGGAGCATGGTAAATAGTTTGAATAAGTTAGTTGTTTTATTTACTTTAATTGATATGACAAATGACTGTAATGATGTATCTTTCTTTTATGTTTAATATCAATGTTTCCACATGTGTGAGGTTTAAGTCTACACTTGTGGGATTTCCAAAATTTACATTTCAAGTTTCTACAGGTTTAATTGTTTTATTCATTAACACCAAAAACTATATTTTGAATTATACCTATTTAAAACATTAATGTAAAAAAGGACCTGTTTTCTTAATCAAGCAGTAAAACTGAGGTGAAGTAGCTCAAAGTTGAATGAGATTTAATTGTTAAACCTGTTTTCCATAGTGTCTAAACACTTTTTAGTTTCCAAAAATTTATTTCTCAATTTATAAGCATAATAAGTATGCTTTATAATAAATAAATAAAAAAAATTTGTTATAAATGTTTTATAGCGATGAGGTGTTTATGAGAATATATTGAGTCTCATCATTTAATATAAACAAGTTCCAAATTTTTACATGAAAATTTAAACCTGTCTATTTGCAAAAGGATAACAAAGTAAAAAATTTTGCAATTCTATAAAACATTTTTTTTTAATTTATGCAATGACCTCAGTTACTCCGAATCTAAATTCACTATTTACTTAATATGGGTGTATATATTTTAATATGGGTGTATATATTTTAATATGGGTGTATATATTTTGTTGCTCTTTGTTATCAAGGAACTTATGAAAAGTTATCTTGAAAATGAGTTGTAAACAAAAATTAGAAATAATCAAATATAATTAACAGGAATAAAATAATAGCAGATATTGGACCTTATCCTAAACTTAAACTTAAAAAAAACTTATAGTTCATTTGCTTTTTGAAAAAATCAAATTTTAGTTGTGCCAATATATTTTGGCTACAGCAATATAGTCGATCCAGTAAAAAAAAAGACCTTATAAAACTACAGACCTTACAAAACTACAGACCTTACAAAACTACAGACCTTTATAAAACAGTAAAGCACAAAAAAAGTCTAAAAGCACTAAAGAAGCTTTTTAACTACTTTCAGGGGAAAAAAAAACCTAGAAAAAAGTTTTAAAAACTTTTCTAAAAAAGTTAGAGTAACAAGAAATTTTTAAACTGGCAGTTCTTATGTATAATAATGGTAAAAAGTCACCATTATACATAAGGTTTCAGCAAGTCGTGAAAGATCCTTTTGATAATTTATTGGTTTTCTTCATTCTATTTGGAATGGTGTTTGTTTGTTCAGATAACACATTTTAAATAGTATTGTTTTTACAAGTGATTCTCTTTTGTGACTAGATTTTCAGTTATTTAATTTTCTCCAAATTACAAATGAATTATCAATGCTAAAATCAATAACCAGCTCACTAATCTTTCTGAACCATTTTAAATCTCTCCACTCTATTGAATACGATATACTAACACAGCACAAAGTATCTACATCACCCATTGTTTTATTAAAGTCTAACACAACATCTGGTTTTATTAGTGGATTTTTCGATGAGAAATGAAGTTTTCTACCTTCAATTAACTCACTTGTATGGTTAGTTGACATGAAAACAACTTTTATTAATCTTAATATTATATTTACTAATATTATCATTTTTATTTGAACTTATATCAGATAACACGTGAGTTTAAATGAAACTAAAGTTGTGAAATGCATGTTTTGATTGGTTTAGTGTTATAACTTTATTGAGCTTCATTTTATGTTATTGAGTATTTTGGCATATAATTGTACTTAAGTAATTTATGTTTTTAAAAATACAAAATAAAACACTTTTTAAGTTTTATAGATATAATATACATAACATATGTAAAGATATTATACACTATAACAAATGATAGGTTTTTTAAAATAGCTAAAAATTCTAAAAACATTAAAACACTGGGAGAAATTTGTTGCGTATGTGTCATTGTGATTGAAATATTCATGTTATTAATGTGCCCACGTAATTAGTCATTAAACCGGGTGTCTGAAAAATGTCCGTAATTAGTCATTAAACCGGGTGTCTGAAAACATGTTCTAAAGCTTAGTAAAAAAATATTTAGTTTGATAGTCCTACTACTCCAGAAGGTGTTGGTGCGGAGACAAAAACGCATTAAACCACTGTCTATTGAATCTATTGAATTTATGATGTAATTGAATTTATGATGTCTATTGAATCTATTGAATCTATTAAACATCTATTGAATTTATGATGTAATTGAAAAACAGACAATTTTCAAGCCTTCCCAGGATACACGTGCAGTTTTTCTTCTTGTATGTCCATGCATGAGTATTTTATTTTAGACAACTTAGTTACATAAAAAAAACTCATTTTCAAAAACAAAGAAATCAAAACTAACAAAATAGGAAATTAAAATAAATTTAAATTAAAAAAAATTATTAATTTAAATAATTTGTGTACTGTTTTTATTTTTGTTTCTTTATAATGGTTATTATTTTCAATAACAAAATTGGATAAGGCATAGTAAAAAAAAACATAGTTTTAAGTCAACATTAAAAAGAATGATTTTCCTATATTTTATTTGTTTTTTTTTAAAGAAAAAAAGCGAAAGCATAAATTGCTATCTGTTTGTAAAATATATTTGTATAATCTTAATGTAACAAGTATATATTGTCCCTATATGAAAATGTCTAGGTAGTGTGTGCATATAATTTTATTTATAACTTTTTTTATTATATAATTATGTTTATTTGTTCACAAGTATATGCATGTTTAGCTTATTTGGATAAGGTGTTTACTTCATACATAGAATTTTAATGGTTCAAATCCCACCACTGTTCATTTTTTTAGTTTTTCTTTTAAATAACGCTGTATCTTTTTGTGCAATTGTATGCACCATAATTAAAGTTAATCAAAAAATGTAAGATAAATGCAAAAACAAACTTGACATATAAAAGTTTTTTTGCCACAAACTGAGTTCACTGTGCAAAATTTTTTTGGCCTAATTTTTAAGTTAGCGTTTTTTAGCTAAGGCTGCATCTATAGTTTTTAATGGTCTAACATCTTAGTTCTGCCATTTGTAGGATTATGTGCAAATGTCTGTAAGTGTAAACGTCATTAGCATATGTTGAGTTTGCAGACAGTATATGGAACAATTGTGTGTAATATATCTATAAAATGAGAAAACTTTAAAATTTTATTTTAATAATTAGAAATCTTTTTTGCTATATATATTATTTTATATACTATATATATATATATATATATATATATATATATATATATATATATATATATATATATATATATATATATATATATATATATATATATATATATATATATATAATTTTTGCTATAAGTATATTAATATTAAAAAAATTTTAAAACTTCTTACGCTAAGGTTATTTTGCTTCTAAAGCAATTTTTCAGAAGTTATTGAATATAGAAAAAATATTGAATTAAATAAGGAATAGGTGTAGAAATGATCAGGAATAGATTAGTATAGAAATGGTAGGTTTGTTAAAAACCCAAATTTTACTTGTCCGCTAAGCTAGGATATATATAAGGAAAAAAATAGAAAAGGTTGGTGTAGAATAGACTTAAAAAGACCCATATTTTTACGGGTTCAGTCAGCTAATATATAAAGGTTGACAAGAATTATAAACATTAGGAGTTTTTTTGTTTTCAATGATTTCAGAATAGTTCTGGCCATTTTGACTATGGTGTATAAATTTTTAAGAGGAGTTAAAATAAAAAAGATTGCATGGGGAAAATGCAAAAATAATTTGGTTTAAAGCATTCCCGTCTTTCTTTGCCATGATTTCTGTTTAAAGTATTCTTGTCTTGCTTTACCAGGTTTCTGTTTAAAGTATTCCTGTCTAGCTTTACCAGAGTTTTTGTTTAATTTATCCTGTCTTGTTTTATCAGGATTTCTGTTAAAAATATTTCTGCCTTGCTTTACCAATGTTATTATTTCCTTAACTGCCTATGAATAATTGCTTAGTCGTTCTTAATTTGGTTAATAGGAGTTTATATGATAAAGGTTAAAAGATTTTTATCACATTTTACTAAAATCTAAAACTAAGGTTGCAGAAAATGGAACATTTTAAAACTAAATTTAAAAAACAACTTGGTTTTTAAATTTATAAAGGACAACTACTCAATGCAACTAAGGCATAAAACAAACAAACTCGTAAAAAAAAATAGATGATAAGTTTAAACAAATTCGATTAGTTGTTAGTGGCAAACCGAAAAACTTTTTATTTATTGGTATTTAATTTATGCAAACAAAGAATTCGTAAATAATAATAAAATATTACAAACAACCAAAGCGTCTGTTATACCAGTTTTATTTAAAAACTTCAAACAGGAGATATATCAGTATAATTATAAAAATGTGATTGTTTGACAATTTCTGTTGGTATATTTCAAAAAATATATGCTACTTTTAAAAGCAAGTTGGAATGAATTATATAATATATATTTCTTTTTGTGCTGTGCTAACAACATAAAGTATTTATCTTAATACATACACGAAGCCATAATAACTATTTAACATAACATAATATCGAGTTTTCAAAGATATAACTGTTTTTATAACAGTAAGTTGAACTTATGTTACTTTTAAATTATTGTTGTAAAAATAAAAACAAACAAATGTAAATTAAAGTTTACTACTGATATAAAAACAAAATGAGTTTGAAAATAATTTGTTTACAAAGTTTTCCACCTCTGTTTTTTAATTGTTTATGCATTCTGAATAGAATAAATTATTTTTTCAAAATGGCTGATTAAGTCCCAAGTATTTTAAAAAATGATACTAAATACCGAAAACAGTTTTTTGAATGGGGCTAAAAGTTATGATTATTGTTATGCTAAAACTACTTTTATAGAAAAATAATTACTACCATAGGTTATCTGAATCTAACGTGATATTATTGTTAAACATATTTATTTAGGTGTGGTATTGAAAATAATAACTTCAATTTTCATAAAAAATTGGTTTCTCATGAATAATTTTTCCAAATAATATCTGATTAGAAATATCAAGTTACATTAGCAACCAAACAACAATACATGCTTTTATGAAAAAATCAAATCCATAGACTTATTTATAGCCAAGCCCCAAGGTTCTTCATGTTGAAAACTTTTATAAATAAAATTATGCTTGATGATTTGTTATAGTCGCATTACTTTTACCAGATTATATTAGTGGTTAAAATAATCTTTCCAAACATACCAGATATGTCATACTTTTTGATGAAAAAACTTACATATATTGTAATTGATAAAAACTTATACTTTTGTTCGGAAAAACGTGTACCATGCCTTAGTTGAGTAAGGCATACAACAACTAAAAACATTTTCAACTCTGAAAATGTTTTTAGTTGTTGTATTGAGTAATGAAACATGTTTAAAATATTTTAATATAAAAACATCTTTAAAATTTTTACTTTTTTTTGCTATTTTTTAGTAATTTTTTGTTGAATTTTAAAGATATTTTTTTGATTTTGCAAGCATATTTTTACATAAATAATTTTGGGGTTATTTGTTTATTTCACCTAATCTTAAACCACATTATATTAAATTAAAACTTTTTAGGTGTTTGTTTTTGATTTTTCTTTGAGTTATAGTGTTAAAACTGTATTTATATTGTAGTAAGTTATTATGATAGGGATCCATATAAAGAATCACATATCAAAAGCTGCGAAAGATTGTTGGTTGGTTATAATTTATTTTGTTGTTGTTGTTAAATTTTTTTGTGTTTTTACTATTTTTTGTTTTATAATCAAAATAAAAAACTATCATCAATCAGAAAATATATGACAAGTTTTTTATTGTTATTCTAATAAAATTAATCACTGTTAGTCATAGATAATCATATCATAAGTTATATTAATTCGTTTTAGTCAGGATATGATGAGATTATAAATAGTTTTAATCCTGTGTTATTCAATGAATCACCATACCATTATTAATATCATTCCCTTTTAATTGGGGAGTAATGACCAGATCATGAGTAATATTAATCCATAATCAGAAAATGTCCATAAGTGTTATTAATCCTTATTATTCATAAGTAATATGAAATAATATTTATGTCATAAATAATATAATCCATAATAGTCAGTGAAAAACTCAATCATTGATTATATTAATCCTTGTTAATCAGGGAATACTTCATAAATAATATTAATTCATGTTATTTAGTAAATTACCTAATAATGTATAATAATTGATGACAAGAAAATTATTTAAGATAGATGTTTTAGATTTTTATTATTGGTTGGGAAAAGTTACAATTCAGGGGGTTTTATTTCATTCAAAAAAGTTATCAAAAAAACTGTTTATGTTTCTTTTGTAATATTAGAATGATAACACTGGAGACGAGTACAACAATGTTGTGCATAACATCCGAAACAGATTAAACACGGTAATAGTTATTCACTTTGTTTATTTTGTTATTATTTGCTTTTTTTTTTTTTTTGTGAATTAGTCTGTTATAAAAATAAAAATTAAAAGATTCATTAATTCAAAATTAATGCAAAAAAATAGTTATTTTTGTACAAATAGTTTTTATCAGCTTTGGTGCTTCAGAGTGTTGACCTCATAATAAAAATATCTTTGGTTTGATGCACCTCTCTGGTCATAAAAGTGTTATTATTGTGGCTGTTCTGGTCATGAAAGGGTTATCAGTGTTAGTTTTAGATTTTATAAAAGTGGAAATGATCGTCATTAAATTTTTTGTATTATTTTATGGCACTTTGCTTAAGTGGTTTCGCTTTGCTTCCTAGGCTCATCCCTCCAAGGGTTGTAGACTTGTTAACATAAGCTATCAAAGCAATCCTATACATAACTTCTATACATAAAACGAAAGGTTCTTTCAGACAAATTGTGACTACTCCATATAGTGCAGTAGCATTACTCCAAAAACTTGAATTGTAAAAATAAAGCATTGTGGTAGGTGATATGACTGTAACAAGTGTTCACTAAAGGTAGGGTGTTTTTAAAGTTTTGCATAAAAAATCTTTATGTTTTTAAAAATGAATAAAAGAGAAGTATTGAGAAACTAAATGTACAGTCAAGGGCAACAACTTTATTTTTTAATTTGATTCCAAAGAACAACAAATATGTTTATAGCAGGTGTGGGAAGGCTGTTAAATGTTTAAGATATAATGACAGGACTGTTGTATGTTAATTTGCTTTCCATATATTTTTGTCAATCCGCTAAAAAATTGAATTTAGATTGCAAATTCTTTTTTCAACAAGATAACAACTCCAAACACACCAGCAAAAAAATTCTTCAAAAAATGTTAAGTTAACATCATTAAATGACACAAAGCCCTTACCTTAACCCCATTGAAAACTTATGGGCAATTTAAAAATCTAAATTACCTTTTTCAAAACGAAAAAATAAAAAATAATTTTATGAGGTTCGTAGTGAAACTTGGACTTCAATTGGTGCTGACATGGCATCAAAGCTTGTAAAAGATGTTTAGAAGCAGTTGTAAAAGCAAAAGGTGATGCAACAAAGCACTGAAATGAAAATCAGATATATTCTTGCATTTGTAATAACAGTTATTGACAAAACATTATACTTCATAATAAAAACTGTGATGTTTCTTACTTTTGTCACATTTATTTTGTTGTTGTTTTATTTTATTTCACATTTATTTAATTTCGATTTTATCAATATGTTATTATATTGTTTGTGATTGTATTTTCTTTAAAAAAGTATTATTTAAGCAGTTCTAATCTCGATGAAAAGGTTTATAGTTAAAAATTGTGTTTTGATTTTAAGTTTAAAAACATTTACAGTAAAGAATTTAAATTTTTTTTTTGTTTTCACTAATATTGTATCTCCTACATGTTTCAATATATGAAAATTTGCTATATGTTTTGTAATTACCCTCACAATATTAGAATAGATTGATGCAACACACTGACAAAGAGAAAATTTAAGCGTATATCAAAATATTATTAGGTTCCGCAAAAACTATCAAGACAAATGTTGTCTTTAAATTTATTGACAAAAAATACATTAAAAAATTTAAAACATTGAAAATAATCTAAGTGGGCAAGACCTTTGTCATATTATGTTTTAAATTGCTCTGTTTAACTACATTAAATAATATATATATATATATATATATATATATATATATATATATATATATATATATATATATATATATATATATATATATATATATATATATATATATATATATATATATATATATATATATATATATATATATATATATATATATATATATATATATATATATATATATATATATATATATATATATATATATATATATATATATATATATATATATATATATATATATATAAGTACACTAGAAAGTATTTTATTGTCGAGAACATTTACTTTTGAATAAACTTTAACTAAATTTAAAATAAAATCTTTTTTATCACTTTTACAATGAGAATTCAAGGATTGCTTCTACCAAAGTCTATAACTTAAAATTAATTATTTTATAAATTTTTAAACCCAGTCTATAAATAAAAATTATTTATTGGAAACATGTCACTTTTTGAAGTTTGCCTATAAAACTTATAATCACCAAACAATTTTTAACTACAAACTCTTTCATCACAATTAGAAGTGCTTAAATAATTTTTTTTTAAGAAATACAATCACAAACAATATTAAGTAACATATTTATATAATCAAAATTGGAACAATAAAATCAAAAAGTCAGAATCTACATAACTGCAATAATTTTGTGCCTATAAAAATTTTTAAGTTTGTCTATAAAACAACAAAAAAAAACTGCAGAAAATTATTTACTGTAGAACATTTTTTCAGCAAAAAAGAATTCAACGTTCTCAGCATACAATCTTTTGGAACTTCACTAACATTTCATTTGGGTTTGATAGAGAACTTCTAACCTTAAGTAATGAATATCCTTAGGTGAGAACTGCTAAGATCCAATTAAGAAGGTTACTTCTTATATTACATAATTTTATAAAACATATGTAAAAGTTTTATTCTTTTCATAAAATAACTTATATTTATTTTAAAAAATAAAATAATAAAATTTTTTATTTGTTAAAAAAAATAAAATGATAAAATTTATATTTGTTTAAAAAAATAAAATAATAAAATTTTTCAATTAAAATCGAATACTCATACCATCGTATACTCAAGGTAATGAACTCATGAATACTATAGATATGGTCTAGGTAGGTATGCTAGTTAAATAAAAGCTAATACTCTATATTTTTGTATTAAAATTCTATTCCATATATTTTGTTTGCGTTTCACCATTATAGTATATGTTTGTGTGTGTGTGAAATGAAATTTGAACACGGTTTCTTCAATAAGTTTCAAACTTCAAAATATGTTACATAAAAATCTCATAACGTTTTGTAGAATTGTTTTTGGTATTTTTCACATTTGAAATACTGCATTACAGCTCATTCTAATGATGTACGTTCATTGATGCTCGTTCTAATGATACCCTTGTATTATATAATTTAAAAATGTTGTATTAAATTTTAATGAATAAACATAGAATATCAAAACTATAGACCAACTGGAAGTTTTACAACAAAATATGATAAAAATACAATTTTACTCAATACAAATCATCTCAAAAAAATCTCAAAACAAATTAAACAAAAATTTTTATTTAAAGAGCTGCATAACAATCTGCACAACATAAAGTCATAAAGATACAAAACATTGCTCATTCACTTCACTTATTTTTTCAATAATAAAATAAAAATCAGTAATAAAATTCAAAATAATGAAAGCTTAAAATAGTCTAACAAAAGCAAGAACTAAAAAATCTATCAATCTTTAAAGCTTTAGAAAAAACTCCCAATTATAACAGCAAACAGAAAAACTAAAAGATACATACATCAACAACATATTATTGTAATGTATTAAAAATAATACATTACAATAATATAAACCAAAAATCTTGTTTGATTAATCCATCAAACAATGCTAGTTCTTTTAGTGCCAATGCTGATATTTCCATTCAGAAATATCAGCATTGGCACTAAAAGAACAATTAGCTTTAACTGTGTCTGAATCAACTATACAAAGTATAGTATAATCGATTAGTTTAAAAATTTTTGAGCAAATAAATGGCTAATTTAGCAGATCATTAAAAAAAAAGACTTTTGAATTTTAGTAGATGGCACAAGAGAAGCTAGCTCTTTAGAGCTAGCTTCTCTGGTGCCATCTTCTATATATAAAACCCATGCATCAAGTTAAGAAGGTCCAGCATTCAACATCCTAAACTGGAAGCAATTTATAAAAAATACATCTGCGCAAGACATGCCAAAATGTCTTTGTCTAAAACTTTTGGTTAAAAGAGGCAATAGAAATTATTTAAAAAATAATCCATTACCTTGTCTGTTTATATATCTTTCTAAAAGATAAAAAAACAGATAATGCCTTTTCTAAATGCTTAAAACAGATAATGCCTCATAATTTTTTTATAATACTTAAATTTACCAAAATACAAGCGAAATCTCTAGTTTTCTTTCTATTATGCAATTATTCATAAATAAGATTATTTATAGACTTTAATTTGAAAAAATACGTTGAATACAAAATTTTTGTAAAAGTTGAGATTTTATGCTTCCAATTGACAGGTAGTGTATATATATATATATATATATATATATATATATATATATATATATATATATATATATATATATATATATATATATATATATATATATATATATATATATATATATATATATATCTGTGTGTGTGTGTGCGTGTATATTGCATCTTGTTCGAAGATCTTGTAGAGTTTCCATGTTTATTTGCTAAAGTTGTACTTTGTGCCATATTTTACAATTGGAGTCTTAAGGCAGGGACGGATCCAGCATATTTTGGTGTTTGAGATGTTATGCAAAAATTGCGATAATTGGGGGCTATGAACAAAAAAAGCCCTAATAATAAGGTATCAACTTATGAAATTTGTTTATAAACTGATACCTAAGATGAAATAAAATTAGTTTTACTCGTGTTTTTTTTTTTTTTTAATTTGATTGACTTCAATAGAATATAGAATTTTTATTTTTATTTATGTAGACTATGGAGCCTAATATACAGCCGTTGAGTGAGGTAAGTTGTAAGTAATAATAATAATATATTAATATATATAATATATATATAAATATATAAATATGTATAATTTATATATATTTTTTTTTTATATATTTATATCAATATTATATATATTTATATTTTATATATATATATATATTTATATATTTTATATATATATGAAATATATATATTATATACATATATATAATTTTTTTTTTAATATTGTGCTAAGTATGGTTTTTTTTTTAACATTTTTATGTAGCTTACAGAATGTCCTCTTCTAATAATAACTAAGTCGGAAAGTAGATGCGAGTTGACTGAAAAAGATCATTCTCAGAATCTTACACGAAAACGGAATGCGAATAGAAAACGAATTTAGTCTTTACTTAATGATGTAAACGAACAAAGTGAATAATTGACGGGTAGTGTACATATGTATATATATATATATATATATATATATATATATATATATATATATATATATATATATATATATATAAAAACAGGTTGTGTTAAGAAATAGATATAGAATAGATTGGTGTTTATACTTTTCTTTTTATTTACACTTGTTTTTATTTTTTACTGTTTTTGTTATTTAAACTTAATTGAAAAAAAAATCATTAAATATTTTTTAAACAATATTACACCACGCAACTTTTTAACACATAAATTCCATTTAAGCTCTTTTTGTTTTATTATATTATCTATATTCTGCAGATCTACAGATTGATGTGCTATCTGTAGATTGCGCACAGCAGCAACGGGTGTTCGGGTTGTTTATTTGTAATTTATGTTATATACATTAATTTTCCACGGAAATAAATAAATATTGTTTCTATAGAAACACAAAGATGTTTTGTTTGATTAAATTTCGTTACAGCGCGATGATTTTGGTTGAAATTTCAAAAGTAGCCGCTTTTGGGCTGTGGTAATTATGCTATAGCAAACGCTCATGACTTCTCATGAAAAAAAAAATTAAAATAATCTTTATAAATATGATAAGACTTAAATAATTATGAAACTTTTCTTATCGTCTTATAATATGAATTTTTTAATTTTAAGATCGTACCATATTTTTTTAGGATATGATTTGCAGCGCGTTAAATTAAATGATATTTTGTAATTTGCATATAAAAATTTCATTCATTAAAAAATTTTTACTATGCCTATTATTACGCGTCCTTTTTTATTTATATAAATGATTTGTTTATGTGTATACTACATTGTATATATCTAGTTTTTTGTTTTGTTTTTGTTTTTAAATTTTGTATTAAATTCTTGGAAAAAGCTAGTTGTGTGATATTAAAAATTACGAATGAGAGCTATCAATTATTAAAAAAAAAAATCAGATTTAATTGATATCGTTCCACTGCACAAGCTGTTCAAAGTCCAATAGATGGCGGGGATTTTTTTAATGTATTATGCGTATTTCATACAATAGTTTTAGCATTAAACGTATATAACACTTGAGTTTATATTTATTAAATAAAATTTAAAGTAGTAAATTTTTGGTTTTTATTTTTGAATTATTATTATTTTCTTATGTATATATTTTAAAATTGTGTTTAGATATTACATTTTTCAATGACAATTTTCTACTTTTTAATTTTGATTTTCTTTACGAATTAATTAAAAATAATGCGTCTGAATATTCTTAATCAAGTTATATCTCTTTGTAAGATATAATTTGATTAAAAAATTATCTTGATAAATATTGTAGTATTTTATATTTCTAATTAACTTAATTAAAATATTTAATAAATATTCTTAAAGATTGTGCGTCGATAGTTTCTTTTAATTACTTAAAATACGCAAGTTGTTTTTTTGTTTCTGCGTTATCCAATATGATATAAATTCATCGCACTTTTTTTTATTATTAGTTTTGACCATTTTATTATTAGGGATCATGATGGCGGCATTTGCAAAGCTCCTTTTTGGAATTTCGTTTTTCCCCGTTAGTTTGACGATTAATCCGTTTGTTTGGAAAGGTATATCTGTTATATTAGAATATTTTATTGTGATCTTTAAATAAAACTTTTCAATTTTTTCACTAGGATATACGTTAAAGGATAAGGATATACGTTTTTTATAATTACCATTAAAATTTTTATAATAAATGTTAATTTGTATTTGATAAAAGATATCTGTAATTGATTCAACCTGTCGCTACCAAAGAACTGTAATCACTCTTTATAAAATCAAGTTTATGTGCCTATATATTTATTAAGCATTTTACACATTTCATCATGTACTAAAAATTTTATCATGTACTTAAAATTTCATCATGTACTAAATTCTAAACTAAAATCAAATTATATAGTAAATGTAAATTCTAAAAAAAAACGATTTTTTTTTTTTTTTGATCCTAAAATGTATAAACTAATTTACTTTTTTCAAAACGATGGGTTCAATTTGATGAAATTCAAAACTTGGGGCGTGGTAATTTAGTAGTTGATTGCCAAAGAACTGAAAAAAAATAAAAATTTTTTGCAATTTTGCTCCACCGCCATTGATTTTATTTTGATTATATATACTACAATATGGTAACACTTAAAAAAATAAATAATTTATTTAAACCCAATAAACGAAAGTTTTTATTTAGTGTATAAAACGATGTTAAAAGTTACAGAAATTGTGGTCAAAGAACGTTTTGATTGGCTGATGTGTCTGAATTTATAATGATTGCGCGTTTAAAATTTGGGGAAAATTTATGCTCCCAGTTGCTAATAAAGTACCCACTATTATACTTATTCAAAGTATAATAATTAGTAAGGAATGTAAGGCGTCATATACTACTATAACGCCTTAGACCTTTTAATAATTTACGTCTTTCTACATTAATCTCAGATATAGATATTATAGTTTTAACTTCACAATTTTAAGATCTAAATTCTTACATTTAGGTACTCGTTGGTGTGGATACGGATCCTTGCCTACTCTAAATAGCACAATGGTACCTCTAAATGAAAGCCATTCTTCAACAACTGATTTATGCTGCAAAAATCATGACCACTGCCCGCTTTTTATTCCTAGGTGGAAGTCGAAGTACAATTTGTTAAACTGGAGACCGTTTACGATAAGTTCGTGTGACTGTGACCGAAAATTCAAATCTTGTTTAAAAAATGATTCCTCAGTTACCGCGAATGATATAGATAGGATATATTTTAGTATTTTAGAAGTACCTTGCTTTAATATAGAATATAAAGTCGTTAAAAAGTGTCTGGATAAAACATGGTTCTTAGTTTGCAAAAATGTTACTATGGCAATGGAAGCGCATGCTTTGCTTGATAAAATTTAGTCTGATTTTTTTTAAACGTCAATATGTTTAACATTTATTTGAAAGTGGGTTTCTACTGTTTTATTTCCTTGTTATTCGAATTTATATTTCTTACTGTGGAGTTTATAAAGTTATAGTTTCTGTCATTTCTTTGGATGGTTAAAATTATGGCTTGAAACCATGATATAATAGATAAAAATTTCAAATTCAATTTTA